CTATGGCGTTTGCAGTCACTGTGCCAAACTGCAGAAGTAATACGTTCGCAGCATCTACAGCAGTAGTCGTTAGGCCACCATCTGTCTTGAGTGGTGGTATTCCTGTGTTAACTTTCCTTCTGCTGTTCACGTACCTGTACAGCAGTTTCGTATTGTTCGTGAATTTAAGTACCATGTTTTTTTGCCATTCGTACTTATCGGCTCTAATCAGTGAGGTGCAATAGTTCCTCACTATTTTGCAATTCTCCCAGGTGGCGTCGCAATTGTTCAGCGCGTATTGTCTCCAGATCTCGTCTCTGGTGCTAATCCATTTACGCGTTCTGCTTCGGATCCAGGTGTTGGTCCGGCGCGGCACTCGTAATGGTATTACTTTTGAGGCTGCTTGCGTGACACAGCTAATTTTGTCTTTTAGTCCGTTCCACGCGTCGTCTGCCGTGCTCTGTAGATTGAGGTCCCAGTTGACGGTTGTCGCTAGGCTGTGAAGCACGGAATAGTTGGTTATAGTTCGTCGGTTTTCATGTCTGATTTCAGTAGTTTTGGCGTAACACACATAGGCAAAATTTAACACTGAGTGGTCACTGTTGCCTAATGGTGGATCGTATGAAATTGTCTCAATCATCAACTCTTCGTTGGTTAGGATTAAATCTAGAAGCGATGGCTTATTTGAACCGCGGTGTCTAGTTGGGCGGTGCACGTGATTGTACAGAGCTGCTGTATCCATAAACTCGAGAATCTTTGATTTGAAGTAAGGACCACTAGAAGTCGCTGAGACAATTGAGGGTACATTAAAATCGCCCATGATTAGACAATGTGAGTACTTTTGAGAAACTACATAATGAAGCGCGTTTAAGAGAATGTCATCTCGGTCTGCGGTGGAGTTCGGTGGCCTGTAGACAATTGTCAACAGACAAGCATCCCACGTCTTCTTCGAAGGTTCACCACCTCGGACATTTAGCTGCATTCGGCAAAACAAAGCGTCGGAGACAGCAAGGTGACGTTCGTTAATAGCCTCACATCTCAGACAAGTCCGATAGTACAGAGCAACGCCGCCCCCGCGAGATGGACGATCATTGCGAATAACTGACATATCACTGATTTCGATTTCCGTGTCGAGCATGTCATTGGAGAGGCAGGTTTCAGTTACAGCTATGATATCCCAATTGATTGTGTTATGTCGATGGC